CCAAGATCTTAATGAAGAGAAAGCGATTGTGTTTTCAGGCTGGATTAGTTGGTTGAAGAAAACTGAGTGGGTTTGAGAACAAGTTAACAATAAAACCTATTGAATGTTTAGGCAAACTGGCTGTCAAACTGAGCAGTCTTCTCTTTAATAAATTGTCACCTTCAGTTTTGCACAAATATTTGATTTTTGATGTTTTCACAGAGTAATCTAACTCTGCAACCTCAGCGAATACAATTTTCAGTTCTACCGAATTACATACCATAACCTTGATGTATACTTTCCAAGTGATTTGCTGTTGTTTTCATCCCCTATTTAAATGAGAAGCCACCAGGAGCAGTTTTCAGCCTCTTATTACTTAATCTTAATTGCAATATCTATTAATTTAGATGGCAGTAGTGCTTTAATGATATGAGTCAGTAGATGGGTATTGTTCATTAGGCATAAAAATGCTGTGTGTTTTGTTGGTGTTTTTTTTTAACCTACTTAATGTCAGTCTTGTTAGATCTAGAATACTGTAAGGATGAATGGGTTAAAGTTGTTTCATTTTTAGCAAACTGAGATATCTCTGAAGTGATCTTGGTTGAATAAATGAATTGAGTTGCTACGAACAAACGTCCCTCAATTAGAGCTGCCTTTACATGACTTCAGCTTCTTGTGATAAACAATTAAAACAGTGAACTTACTTAGTTGAAGTTTTTTTTGTCTGTTTGTTTTGTTTACTTGACAAAACTTCTGTCAAGCTGGTCTTTGTATTGCTCTAGCAGATGCATGCTTTTTGGAAGTCTTGACAAAACAAACGGAGGCTGAAGAGGGTGGCCAGGATCTTGGTGGCCAGCGGCCTGTCCTGTGACTGGTGCTGCTTGGCAGCACCTCATCCAGCTATATGAATTTCAAATGTTTAATGAAAAGTTCCACTCGATGTAATCCTTCGAATCACTGCTGAGTACAAATAATTAGTGGTGAAGCCCTGTGCTTTATGTGGATAACGGTATTTTACTACCAACTTTTAAAAAGGCAAATACAAGGCTAAAGAAGCAAGCACAGAGGAAGGAGTTGTGGCTGCAATTAAGGATGTTCTTGTGATTCTTCATTTTTGGTGGCTTTCTCCTATTCTGAGATGATACGTGTGAGAGGCAACCACAGAGTTATCCCCACTCTGTGCTTCATCCTAAGAAAGGAACAGGAGGTGATAAAATATGTCTCTTCTTAGTGACTGGAGCTCATCCTTGGCCTGACTTGCCTCTTGCACGTCCCTGCCCACAGTGGCAAACCGTAACCAGCCTTCCCCCATGATGGAGACAAGGCAGAAGAGGTGAAGGCCTCGGTTTGCTCAGCCACGTGTGTGATTTGCAAGAGCATGAGGTGCTGAGGAACAAGAGGAACTAGGAGGGTTTGGGATTTTTTTGGCTGGAGAGTGGGAGCAGCTTGCTTTTTCCCCACTTAGATTGTGTACGGGGAAAATGAGTTAGAGCAGCTGGAATCACAGAGCACCTTCCAGTCACACTTGGTCCTCTTGACCTACAAAAGTGAGGCAAATGGCTGCTTTTTCTAGATATCTTTTTGATGTCTGGTAGGGAAATCAGGCTGTAAAGTAAGCTGAGGTTGTTAAAGTCCCACATACTAATCCCTTTGAGCTGCTTAACAATGTGCGCTCCACCAACAACGTTACACTGCTGCCTTTGGAATTCTTTGAGTTACTCTACTTTTTTACTATGGTAATAAGACCTTCTGAATCATAATAGAATTTACTATACTAAAAGCTACAAGAGAGATCATTTAGGTTTTGATGAAAATATGCATTATTGTATTCTAAACTAAAAAAGAGGAGGCACTTAGGAGTCAGGACACATTCTCTTTCATGTGGTGCAGCCTTTTTATGGAATTACTTGCCTTTTTTTATCTAGGTTCCATTATGGCCTGGCTATCAGATCCAGTAATATATTTCTATTAAGAAAAAGACATTATTTTCAGATATATGAGTACTCCAAAAATCTTTCTTTTAGGTGGTAATAACAATAATAATGATGATGCTTCCCATTTAGAGAGAGCTTTGCATTTTCAAACCGCTGTGCAAGCGTTAATAAATTGGGTCCGATCCTGCACGCTCTTAGCAACTAAACAGCTGACTGCAATGGGACTTCGTTTAAGGAGTTGCAGGAAACAGATCTGTTACATGGATGAACTTGCAACCTCCAAATATTGGAGTGGCCGTATATCCAAAGAGATGTGTTTGTATTGTATATGTGCACTACATGCACACTCTCTTTGCGTCGTCTTGAAGCACTGTGTGTGCATACATATGTGTGTGTATGTATAAATGTTCAAGAAGCTAAACTGCATGCTTTCGCTGTTCCTCCTCGATTCCCTCTCTCCATGGATCTTAGTGCATTTTTCCAAGTGAGGATGCTATGACAGAAGTCTTCTCCCTCCTTTCCATTTTAACAGGGAGACTATTACTTGACTAGGATCTGGAGGTGTCTAAGACAAGCTGTGCCCAGGACCATTTTGTGCTCTGTATGACAAGGCTGGGGTTGAGGGTGAAGGAAAATATTTGATGCAGTGGCCCCCCCAAGGCAACTACGCACTTCCTAAAAGCTTCCAGTATTGAAGCAGTCTGGAAAGAGCCTTTGAAATAGCTGGGTTACTTGCTGCCTTGATATATCTCTGGGCTGGTCAGGAGGCATCTCCTCTCTATCTCAGCGAAGGAGGATCTTACTATAGAGCTGTTCCAACTGTTGCAGACCATCTCTGTGGAACTTCTCTATTTCCTAACATGACTGACTTAAGCTGCCAGACAGGACTTGCTGTAAAAACAAACAAACAAAAAACACTTTCATCTTTCTGTTCTTTTCTTGACAGTCTTGGGTACAAAGTTGTTAAATAAAAAATAAAAAGCAACTGGTTGCTACATATTACCTCAGTCTCCTGCTCTTTGCAGGACACTGGTGGCTCCTCCTTTTTGCCTTTACCCGTCTTCAGTGCCTTTACAGAGGGTAAACGCACCAGTGGATCTTAGGTCCCATTTATAATCCATAAAATTGATCATTTAAAAATAGACTATGTTAGCTCAATTTTTTAATATTTTTACAAAGTGAAAGTGAATATGAAAAAATGTTGTGCTTAAAACAAAATAAAACATAACATAGAAAAATAAAGGATTGTAAAATGGAAATAAGCCAGTAGCATTGACTATAATCTTGTGATCACAAGTTATGGTGGTAACTAAGAGTGTCTCCTTTTGTTATATAGAAAAATTGAATAAAATAAAGAACTCGTCCAGGTAGTTATGTGGTAAATCATTTGGAGATATTTCAGTAACCAAGGAAACATGAGTTTTACCATCACAAGTTTGACGAGAGGTTGATTGGGGTAATATTAAGAATTAGCTGAAAAGGTTTTGCTTTCCCAGACACTTAAGTCCTCTTACCAATAAAGAAAGAACCACCAGCACAAGTGATGGCGTCAGTTACACGGTCTTAAAAATGCTTTTAAACTCTATATGACCACTTGCAACAAGTTTTGATGTAAATTTAATGTACTTCATTAGCATTGCGGCTACCATTGCAAAATTCACTTTTCATTAGAGCTGCAGCACTGAGACTAGCACTAATTTTTTGTTTATGTGGTAAGAGAGAGGTCTTTTGTCCTAGTAGTGTTTGGTAGTTGTTATCAATATTTTCTGTCTAGCTTTTAAGGTTTTATTAAAACTTACAGATTTATCACAGTCTGGAGCAAGATTTCTCCCCCCCCCCTCCTTTTTTCGGTAATGCTCTTTCAAAGGCAGCATTGGTCATTAATATTTCTGCTCACTCTCAGAGCGATGCTTGTATAACATACGACTTTGGAAGATTTCCTTTCTAAAATTCAGAGTTACTCTATGCATTTTATGAAAAGATACACAAAGTATAATTAGTTCTCCTGTTCAAGTGGCAGGGAAAATTTGCTTGAGTTTAGGTAGTTTAACTGTCGAATGTGAATGAATACATCTGTACAAAAGGTATTTGCAGCCTTTGGTGTAAAGGCTGGTGGTAATTCCTGCTTTAAATGGATGGATAAAAAAGACCGTGCAAGAATCTCATAAACAAAGCTTAAAATTGAATTTTTATACTGGCTAACTAATCAGTGGCTGTGTCAGAGGAAGCTCGTTGAATGGCCCTTCAAAGGGAATCTCAGGGAAAGTTTTGCAAATTGTTAGAGCTCGTCTAGTTTTTGTGTCCCTCAAATTGAGGAAGGTCATACCAAGTGAGATAGAGATTTCACGTTGTCTCTTATTTGTGCTTTCCTTGAAAAATGAAGTACTTTTACATTTCAGGCCTAGTGTCTTAATTGATGCAACTTCCCTAATGCCTTTATAATAGAGAGGAGGAAAGGAAAACCTATCAGTGAGGAGCTCTTAATCACATGCATATATTACACTCTGCAGGATTTTTACAGCTCATTTAATAGATTCCTGATGCCCCAGTAATTCTGTCTTTCAAATATTGCCTATTTTAATCAGCTGTTAAGTAAAACTCCAACCATTTCTCAATCTTTTCACGTCACATGCAGGTAAAGAGGTTAGAAAGCACGTGAACAGCAGTTTGTTAAAATTGTTTAGAAGAACAAATTATTATATTGATGTGTAAAGGAAGCAACAAATAATTCCATCAGCCTGCTGCTGAAATGGTCTGTGGAAATGTACAGTGCAACTGCATGTGGCAAATGGATCTTCTGTAACTAAACTTTTCTGAAAGAAGCTGTAACAGTTTTCTCATTGTTTTGTTATGTATATACACTGATATATGGGGATAAGATTCGCTATTGGTCTGATGTGAGCAAAATATTTGTTTTAATTTAGCAACAATATGCCTTAGATGTGTATTTGGATCTCCTGAGTAGGAAGCGGTATCAAATCCTAGGCAGCACGGATTTTTCTTAGCTGAGGTTTATATTTTAACATTTTTGAAAGAGGGCTTGTAGTTGCAGTAATATTGATCATGCTTCTTCGTTCAAATCCACAGGGCCAGGAATGTTCTGGTGCTACCATCCACTTACTCCGGGGATCTCTTCAATTTGGTAACTGCATTGCAAGAGGTATGAAATGTTGTATTCCACATCTCTCCATAGGGAGAGAGATTGTACAGTGAAACTTGCATCCAAAAAAAGTTACACCTAAACTCACTGCCTGTGTGCGACTAAAGATTTATATGACAGTCATTGAGTGGCTGCCCAATTTCTGCCATACCTATTAGCTACTGCTTTTCTTTCATCCAGTGAGAGAAAATGTGGGTGTTGCTTTGATCCACCAGATTATCCCCACTTTATTCTTGCCATCACAAGTGATGTCAAATTTTAGTTATTTTCTTTTATACTATCACAATACCCCTGATTCATTGTATGGTTATGGGAAAAAGATTTGGAGGCCTCTTTCTTGTAAATAGGAACATCCATGATAGCAATGGGTATGCACAAAGCAGAGCTGCTGATTGAATTTTTAAACCAGATTTCCTGTATTACTTTGACAAGAACTGTTAGAGGGGTGCTTTGCAAAATGCCTGGTTGTTTGCAAGTATTTAGTAGTAAAAGTGACAGCATGTGATGCCCAAGAAGCTGCAGTACTTGGCTTTTTTGACTAATTAAACTCCTTGTGGAGTTAGTTGCTAAGGTTTGTATCTGTTTATAAATGCTTTTAAGCAGAACTCGTCCTTAACTTCTGCCACTCAACCTACTTGTGCAACTTTACGGTAACGCTGCCATGTGTCTTCACCCCTCCCATAACAACTCAAATCAGAAGGAATCCCTCTTTTCCTGAGGTTCTCCTCAGACAGCTAGAGAGACTTTTGTGTGTGTCTTTCAAGCATGGATGTACTGGGAGATCCTCCAGTGAAGGAGGCTTTTAGCGCGCCTGCTTGCGGCAAGCACAGCCCCGTCTCGCACGCTCGCTGCCTCGCTCCAGACATCTCCTTCTGCGCAGAGCTATTTCCTTTCCCTTTAAATTGTATTTAGACAAGCTGAGAGAAGTAAGCAGACTCACACATATCAACAGTGAACCCCCCATGCAGGTTGATAGCTGCCTTGGAAGGAAGCACGACTGCAGAAAAACAATGCAGTAAATTACACTGATAGGAAAACAAAGCAGTTAATCTCCTTCCACGTGCCCTTCACTGAAGGCAAGACACTCCCATGCCCCTCCATGTACTGCTATTTACCACACAGGCAAACAAAACAGAAACCTAATTGTCTGAAATGATCCAGACTGTTTCCAGTGCTACAGTCGCGGGAAGTCCTATTGAAACAGGCTTTCATCTGGCAGGTACATTTGTCAAAGGCAGAATGCGTTGGAGAACGTTTTTGATAAATATGGATAGGTGTCTCTCTCAAAGCATTTCAGCAGGCAAGCTGGTGAGATGCTCTGGAGACATCTGAGGGTAATATTGGTGGGGTACGTAAGTCCTGGGAGCCTGAAAGTGGCATGTGGGAGCAGGAAGCCCTCGTTCCTGGATCGGCAGTGGGCTAGCTGAGGAATAAATGATAAGTTCTGGATCATCTGCCTGCGTGCAAGAGCAGATTAGAAGTCAGGAAAATAAATAGCTGCGAGCTTTAGATTGGCTTGGTGCCGTACGTTATGGTAATTTTTAAGCAATTTCAAGCTTTTTCTTTCACAGAAAATTATACCATGTATTTTTTTCTTACAAAACTCAGTTAAGAAGAAAAAAGCAACTTTTGAGAGTTGGAAAATGTCATCTTTCTCTGTTTTCATGAAACAGGTTTTTTTGTTAGAATATGTTGCTGAATTTCAGATATCTGAAATCCTGTATTTTGGAGGTAGTTCCGTGATCCAAAACACCTTTTTGTACCGAAAGGTTTTGGTTTTATTTTTTCTGAACCGTTTTGACTTTTCAAAGACGAAAAAAGTGTGTCTGGTCTGTAAAATGATTTGATTTATCAGTGGTAAGCCACATTGTTAGCAGAGATAAAGGACCTTGTTTGCAAGGTGTCCATATCCTCAGAAAAAAAGGAGTTTCCAATAATTGAATAAGGTGTCCTGAATGTATAGATTAAACTAGAAGGCCAACAGCAAGGATGATGAACTTCAGAAGAACAGCTTCTCATCTCTCTGGGGACCTTCATTAGTGAGTCACCAGAAAGGCAATTACTGTACAGTTCTTGTAATGACCAGGATCAGACACAAGCAATCAGCACAGTAGGCAGCAAGAAAGCAAGCAGAAAAAAACCTGTGAAAATATGCCATTAAATCTTAATTATTCTTCAAAAGAAAACAAGCACAACTAGGGGGCAAATAACTGTAAGGAATATACAAAGCTGTATCAAAACCTGCTGGCTCAGGGCAATGATGTTTAGTTTTCAGCAGCAGCAGCGTTTGTTTAAAGCTAAGCACTATGCTCACAGACCATTCAGAGGTACGTTTTCCACCTGTCTGTTAAAAGCCAGAGGAAGAGCTAGCCTTTGCTTCCACAGGATCCTTCCTCAAATTAAGAGCCCATCTATTATTACTGTCTGTATTCTGCCTGTAGAAACCGCAGGAAAGGCTGAGACCCCAGGTGTGCCGACATGCAGTGAAAGGCAGTTTTTCCCAGAAAGACTAGCTTAAAATGCAAAGGAGGAAAGGCTGTGATGGGAATGTAAGAAGGCGAGGTCATGGAGGCTGCACAGCAGAGCTGGGTTTTACTGTGTCCCAGTCCAACATCCTGGCCACTTAAACATCCCACCAGGTTTGCCTCCAGCATATTTGGTGCCTGGTCCGTGGGGTGTATTTAGCCGTGAACGCTCCCCAAGGCCTGGATTTTAGAAGCAGTTTCTTGGCCGCAGTGTGTCCTGCTGAGCTCACAGCGATGTTCTGGGGAAAGCCTTTGGCGATTATGGGAACAGGAGTTTCTTGATTAGGCTCAGTCTTCTTCATAACACATAGTTACAAACTTATAAATAAGGTTATTGGGAAGGAAGAGTTAGTGCATAGTAACTAACTGTCCATGGTGTAATGTGGGTCTACTTGCACAATATGACACTTTTTTTTATATGATATTTCTGTCTTTCAAAAAGATGAAGCTGTTCAGCATCAAAAAGACAAAAATGCAGAACAAAAAATTGTCCCACTCTTAGCATAAGGTTCACTGTTCTGAAGCTGAGTTTCTACGAGATGGGAAAGGATGAGGTTTGGGGCACACACTCAGGCTCATTTCTACTCGTTACAAAACATATTCATGAGAAAGGCTGTTGAAAGAGGCAAAAAAACAAAACAAAACAACCAAACAAAAAAACTAGCAAGGGGATAATGGTACTTGTAATGGCTATATGAAATTGATCTGTTTATTTGGTAAGTGCATGTAAATTCTCTGAAATTTACTGGCTGCCTCCACACTGAGGGAGATTTGATTGTAAAATTGATAACTTGCTCAGAATATCCTTCCTTCACAGAAGTGCATTGAGGAAGTTACTTATCTGCACGATTTTGTGGATGTGGCTCCAGAGTATTGTATGAGTAATTGTCTAATGACTTTTTCCTGAGTATATTTTTCATAGTGCATCATATTTTCCCTGCAGAAAGAATAATTATGTAAATAACTATTATCAGAATATAGTGTGCAGCTAAAAAGTGTAAGATGTATTATATGATCATATATTTGTACAGTAAGTCTGACTCTGTAAAAGATAAAAGTGAATATTGAAACTGTGGTACTTTATTTATATCTAGTTCTATGCATGTATCACCTAAGGTATTTTAATAATTTAAAGATTTGTTATATCTGATACAGGCTATTCAATGTGAGAAATCACCCAAAGGAAACAGTAGAGTGCTTTGCATCCAGAACTCCCAAATACGAGGACTAAAATTGGTGATGCATCAGTGCTTTTGATTTCAATGTTGACTGTCACAGTGATATTCCCTCAGTAAGGATTCCTCCAGTTTTCTTGGGAAATCAAACAAGATAACAGGAATAATTAATCTGTGGTGCTTCTAAGCATTGGCTGTTTTCTTTAAAAAAAAAAAAAAAGTCTAATTTTTCATCTTTTTATGTTCTAAACAGCTATTTAATGTGATCTGTAAAATAATTTTTATGTATAAATCTAGAGGAGGATGTGGTATGTCCTGAAGTTAGTTTGGAAGAAGAAGGATGTGTTTTCCAGTGTTCTGCTTTCAGCGATCACTAGTAATAAAATAAAAAAAAAATTGAGATGACATGTTGCAATAGAGCAATACATTACATTCACAAAACTGAAGTTCATCCGATGGTTATGTTCTTCAAAATAACTTGTTAGGCCTAAATCAAACTAGTTCCTAAATAATTTTGATCAACATGCTCTATTGGAGCTGTTTGAGGATGGCTATGTTTATTTTCAGTAAAACTAGGTTAGAAAGTAGAGAAATAGAGATCAATAACTCTTCTTGCTAAAAACACTTGTCTGTTGTTTTAGCATAATTATTGAGCCAAATATATGTTGTAGACTAAATCTCAATTCTGAAAACCAAATTTTCTATGTATGAAGTCATGGTAGTTTCCTGGATCCTTAACATTTATGATTTTGTATTATAATTTTGCAGCATGCACAGATTTCTTTCTCTTTCCTTTGCCCTCCCCCGGTGTGCCTTTAAAATATGCTACTGTTGTTTTCTCTCAAGCAGCCAGAGCATCAGAGTTGAAATTAACCTGCATAATTACCCAATGAATCAAAACGAACCAGGTAATTGTGGCGCTGTGCAAGCCACTCCGTGAGCAGTTGGTCATGCAGCTGCACTGCGCTGATGCGTCCCATTCCTGTGACTGAGAGTCTGGTTTTGGTGGGAGTGCTGGTTCTGCTTGGGTCAGTCTCCCCACCTGAAAAATGAATGTAATGATACGTATGAATACTTGGTGGTTATCTAATGCCTTGCAATGGTTTATGAACTGTGCTTCTGTCAACTTGTGCGCAGAGTAAGGTTGCATGCACCTTCAGGACATCGTTCACAGGAAGCCTTGTCTGCAGTACACCTGAAACATGGCTTCTTTACAGAATCCTTGGGTACTAAGCAAAACCTAATCAACAGATTTCCATGATGTTCTTATCTTCCTTTGGCACCTGTAACATTTTATCAA